AATTTTTGGAGATATCAATTCCTGCCTCTAAAGGAGTGCTTTCCAGGCTATCTTATGTAGAAAGTGGTGGGTGCAAAAGCAAGAGTAGTCTCTTCATTTAATCCAATCAAACAAATATTCCAACGCTAACATTTCAGATGGATGAATCAGCCTTAAAAGGGGAATTAGCTGATGCCATAAGAAAGTCTGAACATAAAACTTAATGTACCTCAAAGATTGACTGGTGACCATCAGATGGGATTCTGTCATGCGGAAGATGTTATGAATAGCTCGAGCAGCCAATACTTGTCTCATCGCTTCATAAATCACTTCAGGAGTGCTGTCTGTTTTAACCGCCATTGATCCCAAAAACCGAACTATAAACATTTGCTGCAAAAGAGAATCTGCAAGACAGCATTTTCTCCTCAGGATCTCATTTACTTCCTGCTGCTGTTGACCTGCACACCAATGTCAGATGTGCTGGTTCTGCCTGCTTTCTCTGGAGGACTTTCTACCAAAATTTCTCAATACCATTTTTATAAGCCCAGTATTACCAAAGCTGCACGTTTTCTATTGTCTACATTTTGTCAGTTTGGAACTACTTCATTAGACTAGAAAGGCTCTGATTCAGCTATAAAGTGAGATGATGGTGGTACCAGATGAACATCCTTCTAACGCTGAGACTCTAGGTGACTACACTGTACCTTTTCTCTGAAAAGAGTGCTCACTAGACAATAGAAAGTTCATTACTGTGGCTCACTGATAAAGTCCTCTTACAACAGAAAATTTATTTGCAGGATATAATATCTGATGTTGGGTCTCATGCGGTTCATCACTTCATCACTGAAAGGCAGTGATGTTTGGAAGTCAGCACTGGCTGCTGACGGTAGTGCTGAACTTGACAAAACTGACTCCCAGCCACCTTAACTAGAAGACCAAAGAAAGCTTTTCTTTTCTTTCTTGAGACAGGGTCTTACTCTGTCGCCTAGGCTGGAGTACAATGGTATGTTTTTGGCTCACTGCAACCTCCGCCTCCCAGGTTCAAGCGATTCTCATGTCTCAGTCTCCTGAGTAGCTAGGATTACAGGCACCCGTCACCACACTTAGCTAATTATTATTTTTTTGTATAGATGTGGTCTCACTGTGTTGCCCATGCTGGTCTTGAACTCCTAGGCTCAGGTGATCCACCTGCCTCAGTCTCCAAAAGTGCTGGGATTACAGGCGTGAGCCAGCGCATCCAGCTATTGGATATGTTCTTGAGTACATTATAAGAATGTAAAAAATCAAAAGTTTGAATTTGAAAGACCTAAATATCATTTATTTATGTTATCTTCAAATTCAAGAACTAGTTATTTGTGCTTTTGGTTTTCTAAAATGAAACAGCATATTTCCAATTCACCAAGACTGCATTCGAATGTGATACCGGATTCAGATTTCACAATATTTTTATGCTACAAAAACGCCATGCTACAAAAAGGCTATAGCTAACGGTGAAATAGCTGTGGGTGGTCTTTCAGCTACTCCTCAGTTTTATTCAAGACCTGCCTCCATTGCAGATATCTTACTAAACTTTTAGAGAAAACAACAAATCTTCAGTTCATATTCTAAATCGTAGCTCTCTAAAACATGATTTCACATCTTATTTCAATGGCTCTTATCATTTTGTGCAGGGGAAAGAATAAGCACACCAAACTAGTCACTTACCTTCTGCTTCTGGAAATGATTCATCCTCAGTCTCACCAAAAGGGTTGGTACGCCTAGGGGAAGAGCCAGATTTGAACAAACATGACAGCTGCAGCTAGAAGGGCACTTAACAATTGAACTGGAAGTCAGAATAGCAAGCAAGTCTTTGGTGATGGATGGGGACAAAAGAGACCTTAAATTCTCCCAGAGATAACCTCTCTTAGCCCATACCTGCTCCCTCTGTTCTGATCAAGGAATTCTGTAGCAGGAAGCACAATATCAAATTGAATTGGCGTTCCAGGTGCGATCAGCTCCTCTGCTTCAGGTATACTGGCTGTTGCTTTGGGAACAATCTTGTCATTTTCATTTTCCATCTCTGAATTTTTCAGGTTCTGGCTGAAGGGGAAAAAAATCAGTTCCCTTAACCTTATGCTTTTATAATCAAGTGAATACTTTTTGAAGACTAAGGTGACTTTTATAAATGAAAATACAAGGCAAAAAGATTTAAGTCAATCCCTTAATCCATTATACAAATAAATCTTCTTCAAACTTCCTGCATATCCTTGGCTAAAAACCTTCAGATCGTCTCATTTCCAGCAGCTCTCTCTGCTGCACAGCATCCTGCATTGTGCTACTAATTTTCTGTTGGCATCCTTCTCTCTATGAGGCAGGTTTTGGAAGGCCTACGCTATAGGTATGTCGTATGCATTCCTGGCACATAGTAGGCACTCAGAAATGTTAGCTGAATGAACCAAAGGTCCTGGCTTGGCATTTAATCACAATCTGGCTATAATTTCCCAAAAGCCTCCCTTTCCACCCCTTTAATGCACCCTCCACGAGAGCTGTACTACACATACCATATGCTTTTCCTCATTTTCATCTTCATCCCAGTTCTGCTGCTCACCCAACTCTCCAACCCCAGCTCAAATTCTTCCTCATCCACTAGGCCAGCCTGCACCCCGCTCCCTCCTCTGAACTTCTGTGATTCTTCTCAGTTAGTCACAGGCCCAGTCTTGCAGCCCTGTGTGCCTCCTGAACTTCGCACTGTGCCCATACTCACTGCTGACATCATGGCCCATTGAGCACTGTGCTCTCTGTGGAGAGATTAACCAGGCACCAACATGTTCTTCTCTTCCAGTCTCAGAATACTGTAACTTAACTTTTCAACATTTTAAAAGTATTTTCTCTCCAGCCAGGCTGGTAAACTCCTTTGACCGGCAAAGAATATCCATGTAGTTTGATTTCATTGCCGGGACCATAAAAAGCTCTCAGTGATCTTTTTGTTCATTTGATATGTCAGTATTTTCCTGTTTCTCAAACATGTCAATAACTGAATGTAGTACATCAAACTACAACAGCCACTTGACAAATTATCATCCTGACTGGAATGTGGATTGAAACACAGTACATAGGCTTGTAGATGGTCACTGCAAGGCAAGCCCTTGGAGACCACTTGGTTTGACCTCCATTATTAACCTCCATTGCTAACAGAAAAGGAAACTGAGGCCTCTGGAAAAACTGAGCAGTTTTGAAGGCGCTCAGTTACCTGGTGGGTGAGCCAGATTAAAAACAGGGGTCTCCTCACAGCTAGTCGAGTGCATCCCAAGGATGTCATACTGCTTCAGTAACCCCAAACGGGAGAGTTACATCTGCTGTTTGACCCTGTCTTTAAGAGAGGGTTATAATATAATAAATGGTAAGTGCTGGAGAAAGGTATGAGTAAAAGCTTAAAGGGGAGAAAGTGGGTCCAAGATTTTGGCTCCCCAGAGAGTCAAAGGGAAGATAACACAATCAAGATAGGGTGGGGCCTTTATACCGTCAGGGAGGGTCTGAACTGGACTCAACAGTATAGGGAGCCACCAAAGACTCTGAACATAGGAGTGACATGATGTTCAGTTTCACCTGTGATCTCCATGTCACCAGCTCTAATGGACACTTTGCAGTCATCATAATTGACTTCCTAAAGCATCTAACGTAGCTGATCTCTCCATGAACTCCTCTCTTGGTTTCTGCTGGTGCCACATTTTAGAGTTTCCTACCTTTCTTGATGTTCCTCTCAATGTCTTTTGCAGGCTCCTTTTCTACCCTAAATGCCCGAATTCTTGAAGATTCTGTTGTAGGCTCTGCTTTCCCCTCCCTCTCCTGCCTCTCCCTAGAGGACCTCGCCCACTGCTGTTCAGTGCTAATGAGTCCCCAATTCATACACCTAGCCCAGATATTTTCCTTGCACTCCAGACCTGTATCATCAGTTGACTGCTTGACAACTAATTTGGGATATTTCACAGGCCTCTCATGCTTAATATGTCCAAAACTGAACTCTTCCTCTCTTTAAAAAACACCATTTGCCATTTGCCCAGGTGTTCAGCCCTGACTGCAGTTATCCTTCGATTTGTCCTTTCTTTCTACACTTATCCATCAAAAGGCCATAGGTTTTACCTCCAGAGTAAGTCCAAATCCATCTACTTTTCATCTCTGCCATGATCCTGGTCTAAACCACCATGATCTTCTCTTGGGCTGCTGGGACACCTCCTCACTGGCTACTGACTTGCTCTGTTCTGTGTTCTCCAGAGCAGCCAGAGCTAACTTTGAAAAATGGAAAGTGGGTATCTCTATCTCCATCGGAGAGCCCTTCCACAGCTCCCCGCATGCGTCTTTATGATCGGCCCCTGCCTCCCTCCCACCCCCACTCATCCTGCCCCATGATGTCCCTCTGTGTACACTGTCCTGTTACACTGCCTCCTTTCAGTTCCTCAGACACACTAAGCTAAGCTCTTCTCTGTCCTGTTACCTCCACAATTGCTACCAAGAATCCCCCTGGCTCTTTGCAAGAGTGGCCACATCTTATCTTTTACTTTGCAGTTTGAATATTATCTTCACAGCCAGGCCCTGCACGGGTCTCTTTTTCACCCTCCGTGACAGCACCTCATCTCCTTAACGTCACAGTGCTTCTTCGCCTGTTTTAATTCAGTATGTGCTTACCTTCTGCCTTTTCTCCCCAGTAATCTCTTGTTTCCTTACCTAGGCCAGGCCTGGGCAACTCAAATATTTGTTGAGTAGCTGGATAAATGAATGAACAGTAGATATATAATAACTGCAGAATGAGGGAAGGCCGCACATGATATTTGCTTAGAAGTAAATGGCAGTTTGTTCCCAAGAACACAATTTCTCTGATTCTTTCCCCCACTGTCATCAAAACATTGCTTTATTCTTAGTAGGCTGACCCTAGGAGAGATACTATCCCTCCCCCAACAGCTCTGGGGCCATCTGGCAGCCACATCTGTCAGCCACATCTGTCACCCATCCAATCTCTGGGCTAATTCAGCTGGTTGACTAGTGTCTTTTTTTTTTTTTCCCCAGGGAGTCTTCTGTGTCCCTTCTGTGGGGTCCTTTTGGTCTAAGAAAGTGATTTGCTTATTCTAGAATAGGGGAGAAAAAAATCAGTTACTGAAAACATAAATATTAGCTGCAAACTGTCTTTTTAGGAAACCTCTCATACCTTGTAATTCCTAATCCTCCTAAACTATACGCCAACACCCTTGAAAGATGGCATATCAGAGCTGTAAGGATCCTAGGAGGTCAGCTAGTTCCTTGTATATGTCACAGGCTGAGAAGACAAAGGCCCAGAGCATTTCCTGACTTACTCAGGGACATCCAGCCGTGTATAACATGAGGCAGAGCTAGCGTTAGAACCCATGTCTCTCAACTGCAGGTCTAGTGTTCCCTCCACTGTGCACATCAGACATTTCTGTAACTTTACAAAGAGAAGATACATTTACCCAGGAGAAAGCTACGGGATTAACCCTCACTGACTGGATCTTCAGTTCCACTTCCTTTCATGGAGTGTTTTCCTAGAGTTCATTTAATAAAGCATGCGACTTGTATAAACTGTTAAATCCTTACGTTATGGTGCTGAAGTGTTTCCCGGACTTGTTGCCTCTTTCTCATCTTTTTTTTTTAAACGTTTGTTTCAAGTTCTCATGCTCTGCTTCACAGCTACTCCATCAGCATCCTGCTGGATCTTGTACTCCCTCTTCTTCCCACAACCTGTATCCAATTTACCCTACCAGGTGCTGCAGAACAGTCTCCTCACCCTGTTCTGACTGATGCCCATTTTCCAAAACCGTCCGTTCTGCTCCACTGCCTGTAACTCCCTAAGCAGGGCACCAGGCCTTTCCAGTCAGACTCAAACCTATTTTCTGTCCTTACCTTCTTCCACTCCTTCTCAGGTACCCCGTGCCCGGTGTGTGAACACTGGCTCCACACGTACAGATCCTGGGAAGCTATTTAGCCACTGAGTTTTGTAATGACTTCCTTCTGGGGTCATTAAATATTTGTAAAAAATGTAATGGGGTTCTTTCTACCATGCCACTAAAAGATGAACAACAAATATAGTCATACTTTAAATTTACCCTTTAATGCCAGGCTTCCATTAGTATGAAAATGTAGCCCTCTACTATTTAACTGGATGGAAACTCCCATTAAGACAAAAGGTAGGATTCTTGGAATAAATCCTAAAGCATTATTCAAAACGAGGAAAGCAGTATGCATGAAAATGTTTGCTGTAAACGGTAACAGTAAACGCAGGGGAGGTAACCTAAATATTCAATGGTTAATAAATGGCGGAATAGGGCACAGTTACTCAAAGAAACAATTCTGAAAAATGTAGAAATAGTAAAAAACAACATGTGAAAATACAAAATAAATGTACATATAAAACTATATGTTCAGATAAGGCCTGGGCGGTATAACATGGATACATAAAAGGTGATTTTTCTTCCTTATTTAAAAAAAAATTTTGCTCTGGTTCCATTACTTTGTTGACGCTGAAAGAAAATGTGGGGAGAACTCCAGACGAGCATGACCTCCACACGAGTCCTGTTTGCTTGGACGGCAGTGGCATGGCCCAGTGGGAGGGACAGGGATGCTGGCATCAGACAGGCTTGAATCCTGGCTCTGCCACTCACACGTGGTGTGAACACAGGAAGATCATTTAACCTCACACGTGGTGTGAACACAGGCAGATCATTTAACCTCTCCCAGCCATCGTTACTGCTTCTGTTAAATAGGTGGAACAACATGCCTTGGTTTGTGTGGATTAAGTAACAACTCATTTCATATTCCTAATCCATAATTTGGCTCCACAAAAGCTAGTTTTCCTTTATCCTTTAGTTACCTGGGACATGAGCTTTCTTGTTTTTTTCCAAAACTTGTAATGGGAGTCACTGCTTGAAGAGCGGTCTGATTCAACTTGATCGCGACTGCCTAAAAATCCACAGGAAGACACACTCAGTCCCAGGAGGTGGACGCTTACCTTCCAGGTTGAGAAAAGGGCTGAGATGCAGGCGGCTGTTAATTACCTCTGGGTTGTCAGTCAGGTAGATCTGTCTGGAGATGTTGTTTATTGCACATATCCACTGCAGAGGACATTAGAAAAGAACGCTGAATCCCAAAGTCACCCACTACACTAGGAAAGAGGTACAACAAACAAAATCTTTACCTCTTCATTTTCCTTTCTGCTCTCAGCCTGGAGGATTATTCCCCTGAAACAAAAGCATCTAAGTAATTAAGTGCTTCCCCATCTCAGTGACTGGGGATTATTCTACATAAACTGAACTTAGCTGGTATGTGGGAAGAAATGGGCCACGAAGGCAGCATGATAAAAAGGAAAGAAAATGAGGCTCCAGGGCCAGGTGCAGTAGCTCCCGCCTGCAGTCCCAGCACTTTGGAAGGGCGAGGCAAAAGGATGGCGTGAGCCTAGGAGTTTGAGACCAGCCTGGGCAACATGGCAAAACCCCATCTCTGCAAAAAATACAAAAATTAGCTGGGAGTGGCGTGGTGTGCCTGTAGTCCTAGCTACTAGGGAGGCTGAAGTGGGAGAATCACCTGAGCCTGGGAGGTTGAGGCTGCAGTGAGTGGTTACTGTGCCACTGCACTCCAGCCTGGGTGACAGATCAACACCCTGTCTCAAAAAAAAGAAAAAAAAAAAGAAAAGAAAAATGGAAATGGGGTTGTAGATCTGACTCTGCCCTGATTCACTATGTGATCTTTGACAAACACTGTCCTTTCCCTGGGCCTCAGCATTTTCGTCTAAGAAATGAGAAGGTGGGACTCAGATCTTCTAACCCATCTGTGATTCTACATTGAGATCCCTCTGCTGACCTCCTCTAATGATCCCAGATGACCAGGACTCCACACCCAGCCACTCCTCCAACCATGCCCACAGAAGGGCTTGGCAGCCCATTCACTCCCTTCCCAGAACTGAAAAGTCTGCGTATGGAGGCCCGTGAATAAGGTAACAGTAATACTGCCCTACCTATGTGGAGGCTTTAACTCTTTAAAGAGACTCTGTATCTGCCAGTTCCCTTGTTCTTCCCATCTGTGGCAGATGGGGTAACATAGATCTTATCCCTATTTTACATCTGAGGAAAGTGAGGCTCAAAGGAGGGAACTGCAAAGGACCATTACGAGCATCCAGGAATCTCCATTCCCAAGTCATTTCCCATCGCCAAAGCAGGGGGGATGAGGTCTAAAGCTGCTCTGCCAAGCTGGAAGGAGTGACATTCACACCATCCCAATGCTGTCCCCACCCCTACCCCTGCTGTTCAGATCAAATCTTAATAGAAAGCAGTGTGAAAAGTGCATCACTGATGAAGGGCAGGGCCACCTCTCTCCCCAGGCAGGTGAGCCCTGAAGCCCCTCCATGGGACTCTGAACTCCTTGGAGCACAGTCTGAAAACCACTGCTCTGAGAGGGGATTCCACTGGGATGGGATCTATTGTGAATGACCACGAGGCTGCAGATTGTTAAGTATCACCTCTTTGGGCCCCTTGGGTACACAGGGCATGTGGGAATGGCATGGCAGCCAATACTGCTGCAGTGGAGTGCACTGCTCACATCTCCTGCTTCTGCTGGAAAAATGGCCTTCTCAGGGAGGTCATCCTTACCATAATACAGTTGCCCTACCCGCCACAATTCAAAAAATAAACGCTTCTTTACAACAGGCTAGAAGTAGCCACAGCCTTCTCTCTCTCTCTCTCTCTCTGAGAATCTATGCTACCAAGCACTACTTCTGTTGCTGTCTCACACATGTAGGTCATCTCTTCTCCAAAGCCACAGACAAACCCTCACTTATCCCGATATGGGATAAGGCAGGCTGGATCCCATATGGGTCACATGGGCTTGTTTAAAGACAGCATAAAGTCATCCTCCTGAAAGGTCAACAATACCCGGATCGGGGCCTCTCCCATGGAGGGCTGGCACATAGGAATGAGCTAGGAGGCCCTTGGCAGGGGTGTAATCACTACACTTGTTCTCCTCCCAAATAAAATGTGTGAGACATACGATTTTCCATTGGGTGTGGTGATCTGGAAGCAGTAGCGCCGGTCTTCGCAATCCACAGCCATCACTGAGCAGTTGTCCAGGTCCTGGATCAAACCTCCAGCCACGGCTCCCCTGGGCTGACACATGAGATTCCCGCCTTGGGTGAAGAAGTAAAGCCTCTCCCAGGTAGTGGTGACCAGCCCTGTTTTGCTGTGAGTTGCATTTTAAAAAGCCCATTAGTACCAGAAAGTACCTCCAAGTCTTGCTACCTCGTTATGGGAACTGGTGGCATTTTAGAAATAATGTGTTTCTTTATACTGTTAAAGCAAAACTGCCCATTCAAGTGGAAAGTGCAGCAGAAGGGTACAATTTAGCTGGAATGATCCGGGACATCATGGGCTCTGCTTCCAAGGGAGACAGCAGTCCCAGGGCCAAGTTCACCACTGCAGCCACATGCCGACTGCTAAACCAGGATCTGGAACTAGAATGAATCCGTCACCAGTAAGAACTAAACACCTGGAGGATCATTCTCTGAGACATGGGGCTCAGCTGCTCTGAATGTAGTCAGGGTTGCCTTGGCCCACAGCACCAACACTACAGTCCCAGGAGGTTCTCAACAGATTGCGTTTTGCTCCAGCTGGAGGTCATTCTTGTTTTGCGGGCTGCTTACAAAAGGAAAATCCAGTTCCTGGCAAATAACATCAGAAGCTGGTGGGTTTTCTACACCTGCAGAACTACAGGGGACATTTAGCTTGTGATTGTCACAAGTTCACAGACCCCAGAGGTGCTCCAGCCTGGTAATAGCTGGCAGTTCCTCTCCAGAGACCCTCCGCTGGGGGATATCAAATACATTTACTTGGCTCAGTATTATACTGCGTAGCAACTATGTGTGAAGGCACTGGGTTTTCTGCCCTAATTTCCCAAAATGGCAACAGCTGACATCTGAGCACTCGCTATCTGGTAGGATGCTGACTTCACAAAGTAGGTGCAGTCATCAGCTCCATTTTACAAATGAAGAGAACAAGGCTCAGCCCAGCTGGAGTGTCTGATTCCAAAGTCAGTGCTTTTCACAACACATCATGACAACATCGTCTGTGCTCACAGAAGCCCTTAAACCTGACGGTCGCTTCCATTCAAAACGGACACTTAAAAGACCTGAGTGGTAAATGTGTGACTCAATCAGTATGAGTTGAACCGCCACAGCAAAAAGCCTCCTGACCCTGCCTCTGGCCTCTCGGGTGGGTCCCCAGCACATGACTCTCATCTGCCAACCAGCATGGGGGAAGTACATGAGGGGCTAAAAACTGTCAGTGGTCCAGGACAAGAGTTAAGAGTGGTCTCTTTACATGTGGCCACAGTGTCCTGGAGGCCACAGCACCAGCTCTTACAGGACTCGCTTCCAGCCCCATCTCTTAGTGCAGTTGGCACCGGGGCCCCAGAGGTTTCCTGCTTGCAAGTAGGAGGACTGCTGTGATGGGAGTTCTTCCCAGTCTCACCCGCCCACCTCCCTCCGACTTTAATGGGGCACGTAAGACTGCTTTTCAGCCACTTCTTAGGGAAAACTGATTTCAAAAAAAGAGGCAGACGGTGGCATTCTTACTTTCTAAGATTAAGGTAACCAGCCTTCTGGATGAGGTTCCTGTTGATCTGTGGTTCAGCCACATCAGAGTCTGGAGTGTAAACAGATTCATCCACAGAAAGTAATTCTTGCTGAGACATCCGCATCTTTTCTGCCTCGGCTTCCAGTTCTACCTGAATGCTTAAGACAGAAGGTGTTGGGTCAGTTACTCATTGCTGGCCAACCCAGCACTACTAAGATGCTGCTGGCAGCCATCACTCCACCCCCGCAAAGCATCCAGCCTTACAGATGGAGCTGCCAGCCTCCCACAGGGCCACAACCCTCTACCCTCGGGCCCTGAAAACTACAGATCACAGGGACTGAATTTTGCAGTACTAAATGAGTTTATATGACTGCTGTTTTAAAACAAAACACAAGGGATGCCATTGAACTGTGCTTAAACGCAGCTAAACAGTTTTGCTGCTGACAGAGGTATCCATGCTCAGCACCACTGATGCCAATTTTTGGAGAAAAACTTTGATGAGCCCATCCTCCAGGGCTGCCCACATAGGCAGCCTAAGCAAGTTCCATAAAGGAAGGAATGAAATGGCAACCATGCCTCCCCTGCTCTTGGTATAGACAGGGTTGGTGGAGATAGGAAAACGACCAGGAAGTGGTACTAAGATGCAGCAATAAAGCCATGGGCAATGCTTTTCCTTTAATAGCCACAGATCTGCCCTGAGGCTGCACGGGCTAGCAGGCCAAGGGCTGCCCACACAGGGGGATGTGGGCAGATGGCCTGGCTCTGGGACATTAGCCCCTGACTTTCATGGACATATGTGCTGAGGTGTGGACACGGTGGCTTCCCTTTTCCCCCACAAAGCTAGGCCTCACCAGGCCACCCCACCCAGTAGTGACAGTCTTGGTTACAAAATCCTGAACACAATCTGCCCAACAGGGCCCGTCTGTCTGAGAAAGTACACTTCGGAGGAGGTGTTCTGCTTCTGCACTGTGTCACAGGAGTTATGACAATCACAGAAGCAAACAGGGGGCCAGTGTTTCTCCATGGGAGCACTTCAGGATTCTCTCTTCTGTAGTTAAGCAACACTGGGCTTGGACATTCCATATGCCCCCTCCTTTTTTTTTTTTTTTTTTTTTTTGGTGAGTCTCACTCTGCCACCCAGGCTGGAGTGCAGTGGTGCAATCCTGGCTCACTGCAACCTCTACCTCCCAGGTTTGTATGATTCCCATGCCTCAGCCTCCCAACCAGCTGGGATTACAGGCATTTG